CTCTCTCTCTCTCTCTCTCTCTCTCTCTCTCTCTCTCTCTCTCTCTCTCTCTGCCTCGTCCTCTTCCTCCGAGAGACATAATTCGAAATTGTCGGCTGGGTCAAAGAGCAGAGCTCGGCTACTTAAGCGAGTTGACTCCGCTGGTCTTCGGGGTCACGTGCCACAGCTTCTTCTTTTCCTCCTGTGATCCTCCACCGTTTTGTGCCCTTGTTCTTTCTTCATTACCGTATCGGGGAATTTCAGCTGATGCGATTTAAATAACCATATAGCTGCAGGCATCGGCGAACGCGCGATTGACCTATATGTTTCTACGTTTACTAATCAGTGCGCTGCCACGAGATCCGCGAGAGACACACCGGTAGAAAGTCTCTCATATCGCGCGCGCGCGCGTGCTCCAGGTACGTTTTCTTTTCATTTCAGGTACGTCTTCTGTTAGGCAGAGGACCGTCGATATCTCGACCGATCTGATACAATCGACATGCAACAATCAAAATGCAACTCTTCAGTCGGTGTTTGATGATGTGTAACATCGTCACCAACGTCGCATACGCCGTTCGCATTACGATCTCGAGCGCGTTCGGGCTCAACAACAAGGTTTTTTACATTCCGTCGTATTCTTCGCTCATTTGTGACAGCCGAGAACACGTCGTCTTGGAGGCACGACCGAGCCGATGTGACCTCATCGGATGTGGCTCTGATTTGCTCAATTCATCCACGACGTTCCTGCGCTCGTGCACAGCCGCGTACAGCTCTCACGGGCGCTTCAATACACGGTCGTCTTGCGCGGAAAAAGAGCCTCTGCGCGATTGCTATCGTCTCTGCCTCATTATTCCATTATGATGGCGTGTGGCGTGTGCCATACCCCATCCGCCTTGCCTTCCCAGTGTCGACCGTTCTCCCTCCCCCTTCTTTTTCTTCTCCTTTCTCTCCCCTCCCTCCTTCCCTCCCTCTCTCTCTTCTCTACCTTCTCTTCTCTGCCTTCTCTTCTCTCTCTGTCTCTCTCTTTCTCTCTCTCTCTCTCTCTCTTTGCCCGTTTCCCTCCCGCTATCTTCTTCTATGGTCTCTTCCTCCTCGTCCGTTTTCTCCTTCTCATTCATCCGTCGACCCATCTTGGTTCATCCTCCTCTGCTTCGCTTCGTATGGAGCACCGACGGAGAGACACGCGTACACATCTTCGTGACGATGACGTGCGTGATATTACGCGCCGGAGTACGTGGAACCGAGGCCAACGAGAAGAAGAGAGAGAATGGCAGAAGGAGAGGAGAGAATGTGCGGGAAAGAGAGAGAAAGAAAAGAGAAAGAGAGAGAGACAGAAGAAGGGAGGAGGGAGAAAGAATGAGAAAGAGTAAGAGACGGAGGAACAGCGCGAGGATGGAGAGAGGGGGAGAGAGAAAGCGAGACGGTGAGAGAATGTTACGAAAAGAAGAGAAAAGAAACGAACGAGCGACAAGGAGGTGCGGAAGGTGGAGTAGTAGGCGGGCGGAGGATAGAGAATGAGGGATGGACGATGGGGACGAGGCAGGGCAGAGACTCTCAAACGGTTCGAAACAGGTTCCAGAACCGTTGCTCACTTGGATCCCTCAGTGGGTGGAGAACGAGTTACAGTACGCGCGCTAGCCGCGGAAGACAGCTGGGTTTTGGTTACGAGCGTGGCGAAGCCATAAGAAGAGAGGAAAGAGGAAACGAAGCGGGAGAGGAAGAGCACTCTTTCCAACTGTATACGAAACGAAGCGAACGTTGACGCTCGCTCGTTCACCTCGTGTACACCTCGTTGACGTTGATGGACCCTTCAGATTCTTCCCCGTTTCCCCTGTCCGATCTCTATCGCGACGATGCTCGACGACTTCGTTCAAATTTGACGCGTTGCAACCTCTTTCCCTCCCTCTCTCCCCCTCGCCGTTTTTCCCGAGAGTAGTTCTTTCTTACCGTCAAAAATTCTATTGAGGTAACATCGCTGTAAAGCAACGAATAAGTCATGGTGCTTTTTAGACGTTCCTCTAATTCGAGGGATCACGCATGCCTGTTTGTCTGTCTCACGAGTTGGGCTTTTTCTAATTGTGCAATTTGATATTTATTTCCAGCTGGTCGCGCCGCACAAACGGAGGTATTGCACTCGTAAAATAGTGACATGGTACAGTCGGCTGATTTAAGACTGCCACATTTTTCTTCGATGAATTTTGCAACGCATCTCGTATCCAATAGGAGAATTTGATTCTTACACGAAGAGAATTAAATAGCAAAAATTTTTATAGAATTTTGTAACCAAGAATTCCATATATTCAGTAATTGACCATCCTTTTATTTTATATATGCTATTTATATTTTAGAGGCTGTTTTCTATGTCTTTTTCTGTTTTACTATGTTGCTTAATATAACGTTAAATGGAAGTAAATTACTTGTATCAATACATTTCATACGATATTCAACAAAAAGAAATATATTTTTATTATTCAGAAATAATTTTCATGAATAGAACAGCACAAAATATTGAGTGGAAAATGTGATATTCTCAAATGAAGATATTGTTATCATCAAAATAATTATATTATATTATACTTAATTATATTATATATTAATTAATTATATTATACTTCTCATGAGATTGTTACAATATTTAAATAGAATTATAACGTTGTTGAAACTCGAGACTTTAAAATTCTTCTAACAAGATTACATTTTGTTGCTTATATATGAAACAACGATTGTTAATTATAACCTTGTTGAAACTCGAGACTTTAAAATTCTTCTAACAAGATTACATTTTGTTGCTTATATATGAAACAACGATTGTTAATTATAACCTTGTTGAAACTCGAGACTTTAAAATTCTTCTAACAAGATTACATTTTGTTGCTTATATATGAAACAACGATTGTTAATTATAACCTTGTTGAAACTCGAGACTTTAAAATTCTTCTAATAAGATTACATATTGTTGCTTATGTATGAAACAACGATTGTTAATTTGCATATATCAATTTCGAGATACTGACACTTTCAAATGAATACCATTTTTTTTTCTGTATAGATATTACTGATAGTTTATCCTTGCACCATTAGAAACATAGTAAAATTAAAAAGAATTTATGTGAATAAGAAACTGCGATACTGTCTCCGTATAGCAGTTCTCAAGACGTAGATTTTCCTATCGGATACGAGTTGCGTTGCGAAACTCATCGAGGGAAAGTGTTGCAACCTTTAATCATCTGACTGTACCAAAACGTGTGCTACCACAACACCCTCATTGGGAGGATATGCAGAGTGACGTCCGATCGGCAGACACGAGCCGGCGATTTCGCTCGGGCTTTATGCCCGTCGGGGCTCCCCCTCTCGCATTAACCCTTAAGTACTGAGGCGAAAATCTGCGACATTTGACCCGATCATTTCCCGGCCCGCGCCGAGACTCGGCTACACGTGATTTCAGGTATCCCTATCGCGCAGCAACATCGCATATTTACAATCCATGTATGGCATCATTAACCGGTTCGCGATAAATAATCGCAGATTATATGCAGCCTGTTAGTTCGCGCGTTAAGATCCCGCCGATATTTACGGCATTGCGACGTACCGAAATTATCTGTCGAAGCTGATTACGCGCCACTTAACGTATCCATTTGCAATATTATAAACATGACACATCATATATTTCATGACTCGGCGAATAATTGTTGGCGATCCCGCACAGCTGTGCGGGAATCGTCAAGCCTCTAAATATGGCAATGGAAAAAATCAAGACAATGTAAAGAGACACTATTGATAGCCGTTACTTGAAACTTATCCTACGCGACATAGAGGAGATCGGGGCTATTTAGCCACCGGGCTGAGTTGGCAAAATCAATTATTTCTATTGTTCCTTAACAGATTTCAGAATCAAGCGAGCAGAGAGCTCAAAGCCATGTTTGACATATTTAAAAATCTTGCTTGCTTAGTTTTGTAACATGTTAGAAAATACTAAAAATAAACGGTTTTGCCGACTCGCCAGCTAACTAGTCTCGATTTCCCCTGCTCAGATCTGAATTTAGAGTTAGATAAGAGTTTTTTGTTTGAATTATATAATATACGTGCCGTTATATTTGTAATCGCGATTCAGTTTTAGAAAACTCATATCTAACTCTAAATTCAAATCTTATTTAAGGCAGGCTTCAAGTAACGACTATTAAAAATAAATCTAT